GAGGCCTGCCAAGGCCAGTTCAGGCTCTGTCCTAGGCAGGGTCTGCCAGCCAGGCTCAGGGCGGGGCGGGAGGCTCAGAGGAGCAGAGATCAGGGCTGCCCGACTGCCAGGCAGAGGGGGAAACTGAGTCCTGGGGAGGGCCAGCGACACACCCAGGCTACACAGAATTCGGTCCACACTGAACGCTTTCTGTTGGGCACATGCTGGGTGCAGGACCCAGTGCTGAGTGGCCTCTGCCCACGGCCGTACGCGAGAGCCTGGAACAGTGTTGGGAAGGTCGTAGGTGCTCTGTGTTGGTGGAACTAAAGAATGAGGCCTGCCAAGGCCAGTTCAGGCTCTGTCCTAGGCAGGGTCTGCCAGCCAGGCTCAGGGCGGGGCGGGAGGCTCAGAGGAGCAGAGATCAGGGCTGCCCGACTGCCAGGCAGAGGGGGAAACTGAGTCCTGGGGAGGGCCAGCGACACACCCAGGCTACACAGAATTCGGTCCACACTGAACGCTTTCTGTTGGGCACATGCTGGGTGCAGGACCCAGTGCTGAGTGGCCTCTGCCCACGGCCGTACGCGAGAGCCTGGAACAGTGTTGGGAAGGTCGTAGGTGCTCTGTGTTGGTGGAACTAAAGAATGAATAAAGAATGGGTAAGGGTGTTAGCAGTGGATAACGCGTAGGGACCCCCTAACGCGAGGGCTTCACCTGAATGAATGAGCTCTCCCTGGACGTCAGAATGCTTGTCCCGGACGGCCCCCGGGGGCTGGGGGCGGAATGTCTAGATTCGCTCCCTGGCTCTGCCTCAGCCTCCATGTGCGGCTTTGGCTGAGTCTCTGGGCCTCATCTGCCTGAGGAGAAGGAGGCTGGGACTCCGACCGCGGTAGGGGGTACTCCAGGGCCCCTGCATTCCTCCCGCCCCCAGCGCCCAACCAGTGCGACCTCAACTGCCTGGCCGAGGGCCACGCCTTCTACCACAGCTTCGGCCGCGTCCTGGACGGCACGCCCTGCAGCCCGGGGACGCAGGGGCTCTGCGTGGCTGGCCGCTGCCTCGTAAGGCCTCGCAGGACCCCGCAAGTCCCCCCTCTCACACCCCAGCCCTGACCTGGACACCATCCCGTTCAGTCCCAGGTCCCGCCCTCTTCCCTAATCCCCGCCCCCTCCCCAGGTCCCACCCACCCCTAGGCTCCAGAGTCCGCCCCTTTACCC